TTGGAGACCTTGGAGTTGTACCAGCTATTAAAGAGCCAATGGAAATTTTCTGTGATAGTGAAAGTGCAGATTACCAAGTTAAATACTTAGATTATATACAATTAAAATAATATTAAATAAAGTAATTATCCTAATCAATTCGAAATAAGCAAGCAAAAAAAAACAACTTCACTGCGACATAATGACGATTCTGTAATCTCCAAAACATTTTGTTCAGGTTCAACTAATGCACTATCATTTGTTAGACAACCAAATGCTCTGATACCACTGATGAGTTTTACATGTAATGATGCGGGATAATCCTTACACTCTTACTGGTACATGTAACATATTAGATCTATGTCATAACACTATTGTAGCAACAAACTATTGAACAACAAAACTAATAAACCCTAGTAGAAATCAAATTCATAATTAGAGATACATATCTTTGTTGATTCCAATCACGCTAATCAAAGTCTTCTTGTCTCCTTGGAAAACCTAGCTCCAATAGTGTGCGAGCATCTAAGGGTTCTCACCCAAAACGCAAGAAACCCTAGGATTGAAGGAGAGAGGAGGAGAATTTCATTCCCCATCTTTATGTATGAGAGAGCTACATATTCTTGGTGTCTAAGGGTCCTATTTATAGTTTAGGTAACTTTGGGACAAAGCAAGATTTAAATGATTAAATAATAGATTTATCTTAATCAAAATCCTTTCCTTATATACCATCAGGAGGCTTCTTGAAACCCTAAGAAAGGCTCCAAAACCATCCATTCCATGGACTATTTTAGAATTGCCTCTTTTGTTTAACTATTAAATAATTACAATTCACCCCTTTCACCTTTAACTAAGTCTAATTAATCCTAAATTAATTCCAGATTAATTCTGATTAATAATTAATCAATTATCACCCATTTTTTAATTTATTATTCATATAATAAATTAACAAATCATTAATTAACAATTTCTAATTAGTATATTAATCACATAATATATTAATAGAACATTTTATCTCTATCTCCTTTGATCAATCCAAGTCATTTCCTAGTTATGATGGCAACCAAAAAAGGACTTTACTTTTATTCATCAACATTATATCAATTTAGTTAGGACCATATACACTTAATCCAACATATATATCATGGAGAGGATGTATAACTTGAAACATAAAAAATGGTTAAGGGATATAAGTCCTGCAATTAGGCAACTATTGAATGGTGTCAAGATTGAAGCAAGATACGGGAAAGTTATCTCAAGTGGATTAAACAAGTTTGAGACTATAAATGAAGGTGAAACTTATGATGTGGATCTTGATAATAGGAAATGTTCTTATGGGGTATGACAACTGAATGGATATGGATGTACTTATTTTGTTGCTATAATTCTATTTCTAAACATGGATGTTGAGGCCTATGTGGATCCTATTTTCTAGAGGTCAGATTACAATAAAACATACATGAATAATATCTTGCTTATGAATGGTAGTAACATGTTGCCAGAAAACCACATTTACCTTACCTTTACCTCCACAACGTAGAAGAATGCTTGTAAGACTTACAATAAAAAGGAATAGAGATATGTCAGAGAGACTGGGGAAGCATAAAGTGTCAAAGTTGGATAAACTAATTATGTTAAGTGCTTGTTATATTCCTGTCCATAACAAGGTAACTTGTAGCACAACAAATGAGATTCCAAGTAAGCTAAGAGTGAAAAGAACTAAGACAAGCAAGGCTAATTAGGTATACTATAATGATTTTGTTAGTTGATCAATTTAAACACAAATTAATAATTAATGCTCTTGTCCAGGAAATCAAAGATGATGGAGGAGTGCATGGTGGTGAATGAAGTAAACTAAGGAGTGATATTACTATTAATAAAGGTGAAGTGCATGGTGGTGAAGGTGAAGTGCATGGTGTTGAATATGAAGTTCATGGAGTGCATGGTGTTGAAGGTGAAGTGCATGGGATTATGAATAAGTCTCCTAGGAAGAGGGTAAGGGGCAGGTATGGTGTTGTGAGAGCAAGAAGACCATCTGAGAGAATTTTCGAAGTCTAAACTTGCAAAAGCAGTGTATGGAAAAAATGGTGAAGGCAGTTCAACAATTAATGCAATGGACTTAGATTAGGTGATTGAATGGGGGAACATGTGTTTGTTGTCTTTTGAACCTTTATGGTATATACTAGTTACTAGTTTGTGTTGTTGCTGCATGGGGAACATGTGTGTCTTTTGAACCTTTAACTACACATGGATGCAACATATGTATTTTGTCTTTATGTCCTCATATATTCACAACCTTTAATGGTACTATGGTTTGGTTTCTGGTATTATTTAAATGTTTGGTCAATTTTCATTTCTTTACACTACTTCAAATCCCTTTCAATCCGGACAATGATGGATCCTTTATATCAAATTACATATGTGGTCCACATCATAATACAGTAACCAATTCCTTTTTATGTTTTTATGTTGCACTCATGTGATGTACTTAGAATATGTAAAAGGTATTTATGCAATTAACAAGACAATGCAGTGGGACAATACTAAAGTAATAGAAAGATGCTTGTTTCCATTAAATATAAAAGGGGTACCCATACAAAAGTACATGAACATACAATTACATGACCATATAAGATTATATTGACATACAAGGGCATTTAGATCCTTATAAATACTAAGCAGTATCCAAAATGTTAGTTCGCATCCCCAACTTATGTTTACAATAAGGGGATAGCACATAAAATCAACCATAAACAACCAAAAAATGGTACCATAGACTACCAAAAACCACCCCTATCACATTACCATCCTTATTCCCATATCTTGGCTTGTGCATCATCAACACAGCCACAACAATCACAAGAAAAACCACATTCAACCTTAACTTTTTCCCCACCTACTTCAATTCACCAAAAATGTGTTTTCTTCAATTGTCACGGCTAATTCAGCTTCACTACAATCTTTAGCAACATTGGTTTCAACATTGAGCTTCTCAAGAGTAGCAATCCTCCTATTTGGCCTTCCCGAGTAACTAGTGTCTTTCATTAGTTGCAACTCATATTTAAAAGAGTTGAAGATATTATTATAGTGTGGAGTCAACTCATCATCGATCCACCTAAAGTACTTACACTTTGTAGTTGCCATCTCCAGCTATAAAAAACATACCAAACAATATAGGGTATATGAGGTTACATAGAGCACATAGCTTAATTTTCCCATTCATAATGATTCTTGATTTTAACTTGTTTGGGTAAAGACGACGACATTATCGACATTATTAAACTCTAAATTCGAAATTATCGACATTATTTGAAAACCTTATTTTCCACATCATCAACTACACAATTGAAATCTTTGCCGGGGCTGTGGCCTCTTTCCCAAAAAAAAAACTACACAATTGACGAAAACAATGCTTAATTACTTACCATAGAGTCCACACAATAGCGAAATCGGCCAGCTAGATTCTTGTCAGACCACGACATCCTTTAATGGTCTGACTTTAGATTATGACAATCGCACAACGAGCCTCAATTCGTACAAACAACTGTTTGGTTCTTTACGTTTCGTGATCCAGATGAAAATGTCATTGAAGATGAATCAATTTGTAAGGGTTCAAGAGTAGACAATGAAAGGTTATAAAAGGGAAATAACCTTGTAGTTGTTTTCTTCATTTAGGAGACGAGTACGTAGCTTATTTATGAAGCTACTGAGTCAACTGTGAATAGGGGTGTCGAACGGGTAAAATTTTCGGGTTTCGGGTAGAACGGGTCGGGTAGAACGGGTATTTCCTTAATAAAATAATACCCGATACCCGACCTATATTGTAATTCGGGTTTTTGGGTTTCGGGTATTCGGGTTTGTGGTCGGGTCGGGTAATTATCGGGTATACCCGAAAATTTCTTAAATGACACTTATTGATAATTTTTTTTTACATGTTGGTTGGTTTAATAAAGAATCGGGTAGAAAAATACTCCATACAATTAACAAGTACATATATAATAACAATACAAATCATTATAATATGTTATGTACTTTTTTAATTCCATTCCGTGCGATAGTGAGAAACTGAGAATTGTGATGACGGTTCAGGACTTCAGCTTCAGCGTCGTATTCCCTTTACAAGTTTGCGTCGACTGTCGAGCCGTCGTTCGTAAGAAGGAAACGAAGAGTTTTGTTTTATTTGAAGTGTGCGTACGTGACTGCATTGTATATTTGGTATTATTTAAAAAACGAATTCGGGTATTCGGGTATACCCGAAAATAAATATTCATACCTAAAACCCGACCTATATTATTATCGGGTTAACCTATTACCCGGATGTTCATACCCGTTACCCGTTCTACCCGACCCATTCTACCCGAATTCGGAACGGGTCGGGTGGGTAGAACGAGTTTCGGGTTTTTTCGACAGGCCTAACTGTTAAGTGTGCATCTACGTAGACATCAATGTCCACATATACACTATGAGTCAAAGCTAACCGATAATAAAATGTTACATGTTGTATTAATAAAATGTTACATGTTGTATTGGTGACTTATTAAACATGTATTTTTTGAGTTTAGGGTCCATAAAAAAAATGATCTTATAAAAACTTATGTGAAAAGTTTGTTCGATTACTAAAAGTAGCTGTTAGCTGGAAAAAATGGTAGATGGTAGTTGATAGCGTGCGTATAGCTAGTAGCGCGTAGCGGGTAGGTAAAACTTTTATTTGTTATATGAGTATTTAACAAAAATAGCTCAAAACTTTTGAAATATATAAAATTACATAAAAAAATGTTTGTTTAATAATATATTTTTAAGGGAAATTATGAAAATTAATTTTTAATCTAAAAACTAAACGTTCTTACTGAAAAAAAAAACGTTCTTAGCAGCAAAATAAGTTTTTTTATTTAAACTATGGGGGTGTTTGGGAAAACTTTTTAAGGCTAAAAGTCCTTTTTGAAAAATGACTTTTTGTTTAGTAACTTTTTCCAAAAGAAAATCTTTAAAAAGTGTTTGTATTTGCTTTTGGCATGTTAACTTTTCAGGTTAAAAGTCTCAAAAGTCATAAAAAGATAGGATTTATGACTTTTGAAATGGTTTTTTTTCCTTCAATATAAAAAATCATTTTTAAAAGATCTTTTTCAATAGCCCAACATCTTTTGAATGTTTTTCAACTTTTTTTTTTAAAGTTAAAAGCCAAAAATGTTTTAAAAACAATGCCAAACACCTCTACGAACGTTTCTGAAAAAAAAAAAAAAAAAAAAAAAAAAAAAACTTTGAAAAGGTCTGCCAAAGACGCCGTAATAATAACATCGCCGTTTAGCGACCCTTTGGACGTTACAGAATTCCGGGTTTTCACCGGCGATGGAGGGTCACCGCCATTTCAGTGCTCCTACGGAGTGATCATCTGTCCAAGCACAATCGGCGGTGTCTATTTACTTTTCTTCTCCTATTAATTTATGCAACTCGAATCCTAGTTAAATCCACCTCCATGGACGAAATTAAAGTTAAGCAAGAATTCCTAGAACCACTCCGTAATAACAATAGTGATTCTACTAGAGGGAAGAATGTTTCGGAGATCGCGGTGATTGATCTCGATAGTTCCGACGATGATTCTTCTACTTCTGGTAATGGAGTTAGTAACGGCAAGAGGTCTAGGGTTTCGGGTAATGGTGGTGGTGACGAAGGTCATGGTGATAAGAGGAAGAAATCTGGTCAGGGTGTGGTTCTTCCTGCTGGTTTTCTTGATCCTTTGCCGCCTAAAGATGTGGCATCGCGTGTAGCCAATGGAACTGGTGTGGCGGCTCAGAGCTGTAAGCAGTTTTGGAAAGCTGGTGATTTCGAACAGAGTGCTGTTGATAATTGGGAAACATCATCTGGTAAGGAATAACGTGCTATGAATTTCCATTTCAAGGCTAATTGAGGAACTTGTTATTCCTAATAGCAATCATTAGAGTTTGAAGATGTTATGATGGATGATCATATTATTGATTTTCTTTACCTAAGTGCGGTTTTAGCATATCTTTTATTAGGTCTAGAGTTTAAACCAAGTTTATAGTGAATGGTGCCTAACAAGACATAAGGAAAAGATGAATCTCTGATGTTAATGTCAATTTCAAAAATATCCCCAATTTCTGTTGCACCCTGTAGTCCCAAGACCTAAGTTTCAATAAAGATTTCTAATTAAGCCACATTAATCATGATTGACTCTCTTAAAGCTGCATTGCATCACTAGAAAGTTATGTAAACTTAAATGTTAATTGATCTAGTAACTATTTGCTAGCACAAATTATATGCCTCACTTCTTACATGATAGGTGGCATGGATCATGTTAGGGTTCATCCAAGATTTCTACACTCCAATGCCACTAGTCATAAATGGGTTCTTGGTGGTAATACTACTCAACCTATTTAATCATCCTTCAATTGGTTAATTGTATATAAATTTCATATCATAATTAGTGTGTTCACTGTTCATGCAGCTTTTGCTGAACTTTTAGACAATTCATTGGATGAGATCAGCAATGGTGCCACATATGTCAACATTGATATGCTAACAAACAAGAAAGATGGAAATAAAATGTTGCTCATCGAAGGTATGTTGCCTATGATAAATATTCCAGATTTCCAACAACCAAATGATATTTTGACCCAATTTTGCTCTGTCATATGGTGCTTGATGTATGATGTATGATGTGTCATGGTCTCTTTGTTAACCATTTTTTCCACTATTTATCATAGATAATGGTGGAGGGATGGACCCCGATAAGATGCGACAATGCATGTCTCTTGGATATTCTTTGAAAAGCAAGGTTGCAGATGCTATTGGACAATGTAAGTGAACTTCCTATGAAATTATATGAAAAGCATCCGTTTTTATTTTTATGGGAAAGTTTATAATTTTCATTTGTCTAATTATTGAAAGATGGAAATGGTTTTAAGACAAGTACCATGCGGCTTGGGGCTGATGTTATTGTCTTCTCTCGATGCTCTCCAAAAGATGGAACAAGGTTGGTAGTAATGTAACTTTTGATCTTTGAGTATAACTATATTTTTTGGGGGGCAAAAATGTAATTTACTCTAAAAATATTAAAATTTGGTTTGTATTGTGTTGCAGGCCTACACAGACCATTGGCCTATTGTCTTACACATTTCTAAGGTGCACTGGGAAGGAAGATATAGTTGTTCCCATGGTAATTATGCTAACAATTTCATTTATCTTTTTATATTCTTATATTTATGGTTTTTAATAAAATTGCAATGGAAAAGCTTGATTATGAGAAAGGTGTTCGCGAATGGAAGAAAATAATAAGGTCATCAATGGGCGATTGGGATAAAAATATGGAAGCTATGGTTCAATGGTCTCCATTTTCAAGTGAATCTGAACTTTTAAAACAGGTCAGATTTTATTTTTCATTTTTATTCCACGTGTTCATTTTATATGTTATTAACTTATTTTACATTTTTCATCTTGCAGTTTGATCATATGAAGGATCAGGGCACACTCATAATTATTTACAATTTATGGGAGGATGATCAAGGACAGTTGGAACTCGATTTTGAGACCGATAAAAATGTTTGTTCTTGTCCACCTTAAATCAGTTAAATACAAATTTTCAAAATGGTTTTGGATTAAATGAGTTTAATTTACATTTAATGTTGTAGGATATTCAAATTAGAGGTGTTAATCGAGATGAAAAGAATATCCAAATGGCCAATAAGTTTCCAAACTCTAAACACTTCCTTACATATCGACATTCACTGAGAGTAAGGGCTCATTCTTTTACCTGTTTGCCCTTCTTTTCATTCATGAGTATTGTGAAAGTTGTTTTCTAGAATGTAAGGGTAAAATGGTCATCTAGTCTCATTCAAACTGTTTTTTCAGAGTTACGCATCGATTCTTTACTTAAGAATTCCTCCTGGATTCCGGATGATTCTTCGTGGGAAAGATGTTGAGCATCATAATATTGTAAATGATATGATGATGATAACTGAGGTCACATATCGTCCACAGCCTGGTGCTGATGTGGTTTCCAAGGATACAAATGTAATTTTTGTATTTATTTAATAATTTTTGTTTCTTATTTATTCTTTCAAGTTGCTATTTTACTGATTACTGGTTTTCAATGAACAGATAGTTGCTGTTGTCACTATGGGGTTTGTGAAGGATGCAAAATCTCATATTGATGTTCAAGGATACAATGTTTATCATAAAAATCGACTCATTAAGGTCCGAAAGTCAACTACATTAACTCCCAACTTTTTATAAAGAGTAAATCACATTTTTAGTCCCTTCATATATCTGATTTTTGCAATTTTGGCCCCCACAAAGCTTTCTCTATTCTTGTAACATTTTTGGTTTCTGTTCCAAGTAAAAACCTCAAATAAGGACTGAAATTGCAAAAGAAAACATTTTGGGGACAAAACTAAAAGAGTAAATTACCCGAATGGTCCCTATGGTTTGGGTTAATTTGCACGTTTGGTCCCTAACTTATTTTTTT